ACTGAAGGAAAAAAATATGGTGATTTCAGACATATATTTAGGACATGGGCGACGGTTTTCACTCTAGAAGGTGGAGACGTGCGTTATAGATCGTGCGAGGAAGAGAGAACATATACTTAGGACATAGTTGACGGTTTTCACTCCAGAAGATGGACATGGTCGTTGTGAAGATAATACGATGTTAGATTCAAATGAGGGTTTTCTCTTTACAACGACATGAGGTTTGATTAGAGAAAAACTTCATTTAAATCTAACATCATATTATCTTCACAGTGACCGTCTCCATCTTCTGGAGTGAAAACAGTCGCCTATGTCCTAAGTATATGTTCTCTCTTCCTCGCACGATCTACAACGACTGTCTCCACCTTCTACAGTGAAAATTGTCGCATATGTCCTAAATATATGTCTGAAACCACCATATTTTTTTCCTTCAGTTTCTTTGTGATTGAAGCCGCTCCTACTGCATTTTCTAAGTGTTGTTTCTGGTACCTTATACAATAAATGTATATCACACAATTACTACAACATCCTCACTTTTGTGACCTCCATATCCCGCTTGTGCTCATCCTTAATAACATTTAGAACCATGTATGGGATAATGACTTGAAAGGGTAACAAACTTTCAGTTTTGTTCACATTTAGTCATTGAACTTTTTTCGTGTTTGATTTACCCTTGAATTATTTGAAATTGTTCACATATTACCCTTATGACCGACTAAAAGAGGTCATAAGGGTAACATTTACACGTTTCAACAAGTTCAATGGTTAATACATCACGAAAAAAAGTTTAGTAGCAAATGTGATCGAAAGATAAAATATGTTACCCTCTCAAGTCATTATCTCAATATTTACATGTAGAGACCATTTCAGTTTCTAGTCCCACATAGATCGCTGAAAAGAAATATTGTTATCTTATATACATCATTGCATATACATCAAATATGTTAAGATTGGTATAACTTTATATCATATCGTATTATAGTTTGTTATATTTTTAACCAGCTCTGATACCATATTGTTTATATCTATATAATTCTTAACTTTTGCTTTTGTGTTTGTAGTAATTTGTATAATGTTATGGCTTTTGTGTCTTTTATATCGCCAACATGTCATCGTGAATAGAATATAAACCAAATCAATTTAGTTTTTAGTCTGCATGTTCACATGACACTACATCTTATAATAATATAGTTATATAGAAAAAAAGAAAATGGTTCACTAATTATCATGTTTCACATATATCAATTAAGAGTTGTCACTGCTGCTCATTCAATTCATACATATTATAGATTGAACTTGGTTAATGATATATGTGAGTAAAGTTTAGTGGGTAAATTATATAATATAAACCAAATCATTTTAGTTTTTAGTTTACATGTCCATATGACACTACATCATATAATAATATAGAAAAGAGGAAAAGGTTCCTTAATTATCATGTTTCACATATATTAGTTAAGAGTCGTCACTGTTGCTCATTCAATTCAGACATATTATAAATTCATACATATTATAGATTGAACTTGGTTAATGATATATGTGAGTAAAGCTTAGTGGGTAAATTAGGGAATCTATTGTAAAAGTTGATTAAACGTATGTTCGATTCGATAAAAAAAACATAATAATTTCATCTATTTCTTAGAAAAAGGAATAGAAAACCTCTAGTAATTTTCAAAAAGTGTTTAGCTCTGTCTTTGTATTCAGTCATTTCCCTTTAATACCTCTCCTTATCCTCCGATCCTTGTTTTTAATAAACCTAATTTTGCATATAAAGTAATGGCTTAAATCATATTCAAAATCATCTAAAATTATTTTTTAAGAGACTATTTTAAATCAATTTTATGTATAATTTTATCTTTGGGTGAAAGGTTGTTCAATTCCATGACTCATCGATCATCGTTGTGAACTCCCTTTCCGGGATATTTTGACTTGAGTTCAATATGTTTTTCTGCAAAGAAGAAATTGTAATGGCTTCGATTAGTTTTGGGTCAGGCCGGTTCGCCCCGTTTCTCCTCTTTGTTCTACTTCTCCTTGAGGTATTTAACTCCATGTTGTTTGGAATGATGACATTGTGTTGTGGATGATAAAATACTCCATGGACGGTCTTTGGATCCACCTTCATTGTCACTAAATAATTGTATTCAAACTTGGTATCCATTATCCCTGTAGCTTCTAAAGTGAAACGACCTATAAAGAAATTGGAGAAAAAGTATTGATTAGGATAATAAAGATGCATAAGTTGTTGCAAACATTATGTACCTTAAAATCTTTAAATAGAAATCATTTCAGATCTATACTCCTCATCCCACATAGGTGACAATAAAGATATATTGGTAGTTTAGATATGAGTGTGCTTTAATAATATTAGTCAAGGATTAATATAAAGTTATTCGATATGTTATCATTTAATATTTATTTAGCTTGCTCTGATACCATATTGGAATAAATTATATGAATTCTTAAATTTTGTAATTTACCGTGATGGAATAAGATATATGAGTTTCTAACTTTTGATATTTTCATCGAAGGTGTATCCCGATGATAAAATAAAGGACAATGATAAATATGAAAACGGTTTGTGATTTGTGATGGAATAAGGTATACGAGTTTCTAATTTTTGATATTTTCGTCGAAGGTGTATCCCGATAATAAAATAAAGGACAACGATAAATATGAAAAAGGTTTGTGATTTGTTATTCAGGTCAAGATGCCAACATTTTCCCCTTTTTATGTTTCTATATATAATTAATGTATTAACTTTGACTATAAAAAATTGTATTGTTAGTAAATAACAATTTTATATTATATAAACGATGTATAGGGTTAAAATTTGTAAGCATTTGTATACATTTTAGCCCTTGACTCTGTTAACTTGAAAACATCTCACAAATTTTCCCATTTTATTTAATTTATCTATTTGTACAATTATCAATAGTGATATTGATTTAAAAGAATAAAGAACTTTTAATTTTGTTCACACTTAATCACTATATTTTTTTTCCTGTATTTGATGTACCCATGAATTTTATAAATTTGTTTACATTTTATTCTTATGACTGGTTGTTAAGTGAGTGTTCAAATTTGTTGCAAACTTGACTAATGCGGATTTATATTTACTACATATAATTTATTTATCATAATTTTTAACATCATAATAATCAATTTGATCGATATACCTCATATGTATTATTATGTTAAGTACTCTAATATTTCATACATTATAGATATGCTAATATTGTTCAACATTGTTATTTTGTAACGTATAACGTTATATTAGCTATATTAGTGTCTTTAGAGAAATAAAAAGATAAAGACGAGGTGATAAAATGTTCATACCAACATTATAATAAAGTCACCTTTGTTCAAAGATTTGTATCGTAAAATGTGTTTGAGAGCATGCATGTGTTGCTCCCTTGGATCATATATGTATAGACGGATCTTTTGAACCACAAAAGTAATGTTGGTCTGGTGAATGTAAATGTGAGGTACTCAAGTGCGTCGGCCAAACTATGGTAAAGTGTGAGATATGCTATAGGGGACCTGATGAATGCTTCAAGTGTGAGATGGCAGTGAAACATCTTAGCCCTAGTGAGAATGCCAGTCACATATACATCCATATTTTTACAATGGACTCTATTTTCCATTCATTGTTCATCGGTTTTGTAGTGGGATCGTTATAGGTGTCATCTATGTGATCTTTTACATCGTAGGCATCAAAGTGAGTGACATATAGTTCCTACACCTCTCAACAAAATGATAAGTCTAAGAGGATGTTATGCACTATTAACTATAGTGTTCGTAGCCCTTCTCTTCCAAGCTCCTCTTCATCCCAACTACAGGGATCAGTGGCAGAGCATTGTAAGGGCCAGAAGGGGTTGTGCTCCCCCCCCCCCCCCCCCCCCCCACCCCAAAAAAAAGTAAATAAATAAATAATTGTTCAAGCTCCGCCTCTGGGGTGAAGCCCTCCATATGACGATATAGTTACTAAAAATTCTTCCATCCACTTCCATTGAGAATGAAACCCCATTTTATCTCCTCTATCAAACTCACCCTATCTATGATCACTTACACATTTTTGATTGTCTGTTGTCCCCAAATCACAACTTCTCACGAACATACAACAATTACATATACTAACATGTGAAAACTAGCCAGTAAGCACAAACAAAAAACGAAAGCCATGAGTAGACAAACAAATACTATTTTGCTACTCTGATTTTAAACTTTCACATTGTCCTATCAAAATCGAATATACAATTTTAATGCCATTGTAGTTTACCATAATAAAAACCTAGACTAAAATCGAATCAAAATCCTTTTGAAAACTGTAATTTTAATGCCATCTTGGTTGACCATCGTTCAAGAATATACAATCATTTTACCTCGAAGAAAAAAAAAAGAAAAAAAAACAGTTTTACTCCATCAACCTCAAGTCATGTTCAACATTCAAGTGTTTAGCTCTTTCTTTGTATTCAGCCATTTCCCTTTGATACCTCTCCTTATCCTCCAATCCTTGCTTCTGATAAACCTAAAAAAAACAGTGAAGCCTTCCATATGACGATATAGTTACTAAAAATTCTTCCATCCACTTCCATTGAGAATGAAACCCCATTTTATCTCCTCTATCAAACTCACCCTATCTATGATCACTTACACATTTTCGATTGTCTGTTTTCCCCAAACCACAACTTCTCACGAACATACAACAATTACATATACTAACATGTGAAAACTAGCCAGTAAGCACAAACAAAAAACGAAAGCCATGAGTAGACAAACAAATACTATTTTGCTACTCTGATTTTAAGCTTTCACATTGTCCTATCAAAATCGAATATACAATTTTAATGCCATTGTAGTTTACCATAATAAAAACCTAGACTAAAATCGAATCAAAATCCTTTTGAAAACTGTAATTTTAATGCCATCTTGGTTGACCATCGTTCAAGAATATACAATCATTTTACCTCGAAGAAAAAGAAAAGAAAAAAAAAACAGTTTTACTCCATCAACCTCAAGTCATGTTCAACATTCAAGTGTTTAGCTCTTTCTTTGTATTCAGCCATTTCCCTTTGATACCTCTCCTTATCCTCCAATCCTTGCTTCTGATAAACCTAAAAAAAACAGTGAAGCCTTCCATATGACGATATAGTTACTAAAAATTCTTCCATCCACTTCCATTGAGAATGAAACCCCATTTTATCTCCTCTATCAAACTCACCCTATCTATGATCACTTACACATTTTCGATTGTCTGTTTTCCCCAAACCACAACTTCTCACGAACATACAACAATTACATATACTAACATGTGAAAACTAGCCAGTAAGCACAAACAAAAAACGAAAGCCATGAGTAGACAAACAAATACTATTTTGCTACTCTGATTTTAAGCTTTCACATTGTCCTATCAAAATCGAATATACAATTTTAATGCCATTGTAGTTTACCATAATAAAAACCTAGACTAAAATCGAATCAAAATCCTTTTGAAAACTGTAATTTTAATGCCATTTTGGTTGACCATCGTTCAAGAATATACAATCATTTTACCTCGAAGAAAAAGAAAAGAAAAAAAAACAGTTTTACTCCATCAACCTCAAGTCATATTCAACATTCAAGTGTTTAGCTCTTTCTTTGTATTCAGCCATTTCCCTTTGATACCTCTCCTTATCCTCCAATCCTTGCTTCTGATAAACCTAAATATGCACATATATAATTGGTTTAATTCAAAATAAATAAATTGTAAGAAATTATAGCAATCAGTTTTTTCGTACGCTTTTATCTTCTGGCGAAAGGTTGTTCCAAGAGTCGCCAATCATCTTTGTGAACTCTCTTTCCCTGTCGGGATATTTTGACTTCAACTCGGCATGCTTTTCTGCAAAGAAGAAATTGTAACCGCTTCTATTAGTTTTGGGTCGGGTCGGGTCTCCACTTTTTCTCCGATTTCTTCTTTTCCTTGAAGTAGTCAAGTCCATGTTTGGAATGATGACATTCTTGTGTTGTGGATGATAAAGTACTCCATGGAGGATCTCTGAATCCAACTTCATTCTCACTAAATAACCGTATTCAAACTTGTTATCAATTATCCCCGTAGCTTCCAGAGTTATAAAACCACCTGTATGTATGGGGATTAATTATGATAGTAAATATGTACATATATATACGTATGATAGATGAATGTAAAGGTACATGTATATATGCATATATGAATGTAAATGTACATGTATATGTATGTGTGTATACATAAATTTACCTGAGTCTGAGTGTGTGGATGATTTCGATGACAAAAAGTAAACGATTTCATAGTGATACAAGAATTTCATGTAACGTTTCCTTAATGCATAGGAAGCACTTGTTGTCGTTGTGGAGAATCCGAAAATTTCACTAACTTCCCTCCATTTTTTTAATCTTACAACCTATATACAACTTGAAACACAAATTATGAGTAATTTATACATACCAGTAAATATGTAAAAACTATCAAACTTTATACAAAATTGCGACCTGTCCTTATTAAATACAAAGAATGACAGCAAACTTAATTGATCTATATATATTATCTTATGTGAAACTTTTTTCACAATGTTCAAACCTTTTCTTGATGATTATCAGATTTTTACTACCAAATTAGATATTAAACCAAAGTTATAACTTATAAGTTGTCATGTTTAAAGAAACAAAACAAAAGTTGCACCTTGTCAAAACCACCCCTCTTGGTGACCTCTGTGTACAGGACATGCAAATTCAGCTCCTTTCCTCCTATCACTGGAACCCTGTGATCTTAAATTGAAACATAAGTACTCATTAATACATAATAATCGAAGTTTTTAAATTAAGTGATTTTAAAAAGTTAATATCGAAATGATCAGTCACGTAAAATTAATAACAAATAATAAAATAATAATATAGAAAAGAGGAAAGAGTGTTACATAAGTGGGGTGCCCATGAAGCGGTGAAAGCTCTGGAGGGTTTCCCAGAAGAGAGAAGAGTCTTTAACGAGGTCGTCATGGGATGCCAGCGCCACCGGATAAGACTCACCATCACTGCCAAATATACCCGCTGGTGACATTTTCCGACCGGCGACATCAAAGGGTCACCGGCTCATGTACACACACTACACTCACACATACATGTGAAAGAAGAGATAAGTGTTTATAGCTACATATTTCGGATTTTTCTGCAACTTTTGTTTTAATTATGTAACTGTTTTTTTTTTTTTTTTTTCCGTGGAATAATAATAAATAATTTTATCTTGTTTATATTGGGATAAAACTTTAATCCTTGATTCCATTATTTTAATACTTGTTTAATCTAATTCAACTCATGAATATTTAAAGTGCGGATTATTTATATTTATTACTTGATCTTCCATTATAGTTAGGGCCTTAGGGTGTTCATTTGGATTGATTGGTTCGATCTAATCCAATCATGTGAATCCATATTGATTTCGGTTTTTAAAAAATAGATCCAAATACTCTAAACAAAATTAGAATTCGATTCGATCCATACAAGTTATAATTCGGTTGGATATGATTTTATAATTTGATTTTCAAAAACCGAAACATTTTAAAACCACATATAATTATAATATTAGCCAACATTATAGAAGAAACAAAAACAAATTGTTTAATTTTGGTTTAAATTTTATGAACAACTACTAAAAGCATATATTATAGTTTCATATTTTATAGATAAAAAACTTTCTAGAGAATATGCATTTTAAGGTTTTTTATTAGGTGAAACTTTTCAAATTGATTTGTGAAAATAAATCACTAAATTAATAAATAATAATAGATATATATTAAAAATTAATAAATAATATATTATTATTCGGTTTTTTTGAACAATTTTGTTCTTATTTTTTAAATCAAAACCAATTTGAAATAAAGAATAATAATTCGGTTTTGTTGAAAATCAATCTAAAAATCCGAGTATCCGAACCAAATAGTCTAATCCAAATTGGACAATTGGATAATTCGGTTTTATCCAAATAGTGAACAGACCTAATTATACTTTATGTTTTGTTGGAATATATCACATGTTCATTAAGTTTGTTAAAAAAATATCAAATTTGCAAACAAAATATATGTTTGAATATGTATATGTTTGTCTAGCTAGCAATAATAACAAAAACAGAAAATACTCTATTTTTTTATATAATTGCTCACTTATATACTTGTACAATACTTAGCATTTATGGAATTTCTGTAAAAATAGTGGTCCCAAAAAAAAAAATTGTATGAATTTATCTTTTGATTTTTGTATGGTATTTTCAAAAATTGAATTTACTTAGCCTTTGAAATATGAGCTCATTGAGTGGCTTAAATTTTTAATGAGATTATCATTATCTCATATGGATGTTCGGTCCTAAATTGTAAATATCAGCCATTCAACATTTTCGATCTAAATATATATATTATTAAGAGTATAAAAGATCTGTTTTATAGTATTATATGGTTTCTTCGTTAGACATGACTAAAAAAATATATATCTTGATAATTGACACAATTTCACAAGGGATAAATTCCAAGCCTTTGAATTAGCCTTTTGTATCTTTGATGTTTATAATTAAACCGATGAACATGTAAGATTCATAAAAGATCTGTTTTATATTATATGGTTTCTTTGTTAGACACGACTAAAAAATATATATCTTGATAATTGACACAATTTCACAAGGGATAAATTCCAAGCCTTTGAATTAGCCTTTTGTACCTTTGATGTTTATAATTAAACCGATGAACGTGTAAAGATTCATAAATAATCTCTTTAAATCTGTTACGAATTTTTTTCCCATCAACTCAACTGAATGGACTAACATCAACATTAAACATAGAACACGATGCAATTTCCTCTTTCCTTACATTCGATTATAACTTCATATATCACACGTCAAGCAATTTATAGTCGAAGTAAGAAAGAAATAACAATATTTCATTACCAAAAACTCTCATAACTTTATATATCATACAAAAAGCCAACCAAGCTTAGAAAAATGATCATCCACATTTGTCTTGCCACTTTCCTCGTTAAACCCATCAGGCCTGCTACCAAAAAAAAAACACAAATCCTCATCAGGATAACAAAGACATTCACGTCTTTTACACAGACAAAGTAATAGCAATCCCATGCCCCACTTTTTTTTGGATAGGACAAAAGATTGTAACTTTTATCACATTGACATCAGTTCTAGACTTCTACTCTTAATCCAATGGACACCAGACACAATACAACTGTCTTAGTCCAATGGACATCAGACACAGTGCAACTTGTTATGTTCTATAACACAGTTGAAGGAGATTAGAGCTTACGTGATTAATGTAGACTTGGACTAATCCAAATTGGAGGAGGCCATCGACGTCCATTGGACAACTTTTCATAACCCGGTAAACCTACCACACTACCATTTTCCAAGTCATAAATACCCAAATCATGATCCCCATTAGCACCATCATAATTCCACTCAGAATAATCATCTGTGAAATATATACAATTCCCATTACAACCATGGAAATCAGAAGCACGAAACGCCATGGAAGAATTCTCCCCCAAAAACAACGCACACCCATCCAATCCACTCATACTCTCCCATTTTGGCCCATTTAAAACCAACTTAAACACTCGAAAGTCGGTAGTTTTATACACAATATCAACTTTATGATGATCCATGTTAAATTCAACCTCCATATATCGAGTCACCAACAGTAATTCATCTTTCCATATCACCAAATATTGCATATCACCTCCAACTTGTCTTGGGGTTTCGATAAAGGAAACATTTGGTGATGATCCAGTAATGTCACATATAGCAACTGTTCCATGTTTACTCACAGCGTAGAAACACCCTTTGTGAAAAACAACGTCCTCACAGAAAGAATTTGCATCGTCTATGAATTTCCAACAGTTGTCGCCTTTCTTGCAAAATGCAAGATCACCGGTTTGATTTAGAATTGCCACTGCATAGTAATCGGTGTTTTCATTTGAAGGGCTTGAAGAA